TATATGTTTATAAATTATTGAAACTAAATATGTCATTGAGATTTTCAACAAATATTTCAAATATCTTCGAATGAAATCTACAGGAAATCTTAAAAAATCTGTCGCTTGAGATATTTAGCAAAGATTACAAAGAAATATTTAGAAATTATTCTGTGCTACTACTTGAAAATCTATGATCTTGTCAAAAACAAAAAACGCTTCCGCGTTCCTTGATGAAGGAATAATAGTATAAAGAAGAGCACGAGAGAAAGACGGGAAGGCAACTTGTAGATACACGGAGAAACTCCGGAAAATGTATTTCCGAACTCTGACTCTTTTCCCATTTCCTGTGGGATGAAAAGCCTCGTTGAAAAACGAGAATAGAATAGAGAAAGGAGGGAATCCCGCTCGGCCAGTTTTCCATTGTTTAGGGGCCACGTATAAGAAGGAGTTCCGTCGATAAAACGTCGATTTCGTTCCGGAAAACGCTCCAGAGTGCGATAATGGACTCTGGGTGATATCATAAATCGGTTCCATAATGCTCCTCACACATGCCACAATTTTCAACGATTTCCCAGGAAAACAATTTCTCAGGAAAAATTGCATATCCATTTTTTTTTCCAAATTTCAGGCAATTTTGGTGCCCTCACAACAGGTGGCATTAAGTCCAAACACCCTGGTGGAATTTAATTAAAACGCGCAGGTGGAATTAAATTCAATTAAGGAATGTGTATGATCTCACCATGGGGCTCAGATGAGGGGCGAATTTTTTCCCGTGGCTTTTTAATAAATCTCCCACCGATTTTATTGCTTTTTTCTCCTCGTTGCTCAAAATGTGACTTAAGGTTGGACGCAAGTTCTGGTGAAGACAATGGGAGTCCCAAGGCACCTCGTCAGTCTTCAGAAGATTTTCCAGTCTTGATTGTTCGTCTTTTATGGATTTCAAATACCCGTTTGGACATATGTGCATCCCATAGGGCAGAAAGGGCGACTCTGAGTTTTCCGAAAATTGTGCTTTCGTGATTTGTTTAACTGCTTCCAAAGGTGTAGGCCCTGTGAAAACGTGGATGTCGATTTTTTCGGGCAGGTGCAGACCTCGAAGAATCACTAAATTGGAACCATTGAGCACCTGTGTGATGAGAAATTTTATAAAAAATTAAATTAACAATTTTTACGCAAATTTTCATTACAAATTATCGTTGAAATATTTTATTGCTAATTTTCATAAGGTTCATACAGCGAAAAATAAAGCTGAAAAAAGGTGCAGACCTCGAAGAATCACTAAATTAGAACCATTGAGCACCTGTGCGATGAGAAATTTTATAAAAAATTAAATTAACAATTTTTCCGCAAATTTTCATTACAAATTATCATTGAAGTATGCATTTCATTACAAATTAACTTTGAAGTATACATTTAATTACAAATTTTCATTAAATGTTAAATATCATACAAAAAATTCAATTACCAATTTTTACGCAAATGTTCATTACAAATTATCCTTGAAATATTTTATTGCAAATTTTCATAAGGTTCATACAGCGAAAAATAAAGCTGAAAAAAAGGTGCAGACCTCGACGAATCACTAAATTGGAACCATTGAGCACTTGTGCGATGAGAAATTTTATAAAAAATTAAATTAACAATTTTTACGCAAATTTTCATTACAAATTATCATTGAAGTGTGCATTGAAAGTTTCATTACAAATTCTCATTAAATGTTACAGTAAAAATTTTCGTAAAGCAGTTCGCTGGAAATTCTTATTCAATATTTCATTACGGATTTTCATGAAAAAATGTATAACGAAAGTTATATTGAATGTTACATTACAAATTTTTGTAAAACAGGTCACTAGAAATTTTCATTGCAAATTTTCATAAGGTTCCTAAGGAAAGAAAATTTCCAACTCGTGGAGATGTTTCGTCGAAAGAAATTAGCAAGAATTTTTAAAACATTGAACGTATTATTCAGAGTACCTGGATTTCTAAAGGTCCTTTGAAGTCGATAAAACAGGTAACTGCTTGGCCTAATTCGTCAATGGCAAGAAATGCCGGCCTCATCGTACCATTTTCGTTGTTATAAACCGAATTAATGGTTCCATTTAAACTGCCATTGTTCAGACCGTACAATTTACCATTCGTAAAGTACAGACTCCATTCCCAATAAGACCTCGTAACAATTAAAGGGCCTCTGGCCGTGGAAAACACAGTAGAGCTCGAATTGTTTGTCGAATTGATTCTTTTCACAAGAACCGAAAAATCCGGATAAAGAACATAGACTGCCAAATTCAACGGGTCGTCTGTAAAAAGAATAAAAATAGAAACAGCGTGTACAACAATGCTGCTTGACAATGTAAATAGAAGATAAACGTCCCGCGTTTTCGACGCCAGGAAAAATTGGTTCATTTTTTTTAACATGTAATACAAATAATTCCAAGTAGACAAAAAATCTCGAAACGATTTTCTAAAATGGAAAAGAGTGCTTTGAAATTAAAAAGAATAAACTTAAAACAGTGTGTACAACAATGCTGCTAGACAATGTAAATAGGAGAAAAATTTCTGTATTTTCAAGAATGCCAGGAAAAATCGTTTTAATTTTTTTTTTACCATTAATTACAAATAATTCCAGGTAGACAAAAAATCTCGAAATAATTTTGTAAAATGAGAGAGCTTTTCGAAATTAAAAAGAGTGAAAATAAAAACAGCGTGTACAACAAAGCTGCTAGAAAATGTAAATAGAAAGAAAATTTCTGCATTTTCAACAACGCCAGGAGAAATCGGTTAATTTATTTTTAACATGAATTACAAATAATTCCAGGTAGACAACTAATCCCGAGACGATTTTCTAAAATGGAAAAGAGTGCTTTAAAATTAAAAAGAATAAAAATAAAAACAGCATGTACGACAATGCTGTTTGAAAATGTAAATTGGGGACAAATTTCTGTATTTTCATGAATGCCAGGAAAAATCGTTTTATTTCTTTTTACCATTAATTAAAAGTAATTCCAGGTAGACAAAAAATCTCGAAATAATTTTGTAAAATCGGAAAGAGCGATTCAAAATGAAAAGGAAGGTCAGCCTTCCGATCAAAACATGTAACGCAGTTTTTCTATCCCTTTTTTTTCTATCTCTGTGTCCTCTTTTCCGAGTTGAGTGTTGTAAACAGAAAAAAGAACAGCGGAGATTACTTTTGGCGGAAATGATGAACAAAAATCGATCTCGGCTTCCAGTGAATAATCCCGGATTTTCAGAATTCCCGTGACCTTAAATGGCGATATTGAATTTTGCTTTCCCTCCTGAAAGGACATTCATAGACTTGCTTCAATTGCGGATTTTCCAGTAAATATCCCGCGGAAAAAATACGACGAACAGTCATGATAAGGTAGATCAGGGTTTTTCCGGGAAAATATTTCGAGATAAAAAAAATGGAAACAGTAAACGATGATGACGCCAATTTGAGGCTCATTCTTTCAAAACTACTCGTTTTCTGTAACGAGCGGGTAAACGGACAATGAAAGGGTTATTGTAAACGATCTCGTTACGCACCGTTTATTATACAGAGTGACTCGACGTAGTTTTCCTAGTAGCGGAAAATACTTGTCTCATATTTATCATATACTTAGCTAATATTGTACTTTTTGTAAATATTTAATAGACAGCTGAGATATTTGCAAAAGATTCACTTTAGAATATTATTTGTATATTTGTATGATATTAGCTCCACGTGGTTTCGTAATATTGCTCACACAGATATACATGACCTTTCGTTTCATTTTAATATAAGTATATATGAACACTTCGAGTTTAGCGCTCAAATGTATTTGGCTCGAAACTCTACCGAGTTTCTTGATTTTACCGAATTTCTTTGCGATGCTCCTTTTCGTCGAATCTTCTTCAGGGAGTTTAAAGCGAAGGAATTTTGGAAATTTTTCGCTGATTTTTAGGAATTCCATGTTAACTAGTTTCGATTTTGAAGGGATTCTTCCTCTTGTTGTTTTCAAATTTTTGAAATTGAAAAAAAAAACAGATTTTACCAAATTTCGTTGCGACGTTTCTTCTCGTCGAATCTTCTTCAGAGAATTTAAAGCGAAGAAATTTTGGAAATTTTTTGCTGATTTTTAGGAATTCCATGTCAGCTAGTTTCGATTTTGAAAAGATTCTTCTTCTCGAATTTTTGAAAATCTGCGTGACATTTTCGATTTCCAGAGAAGATACGATCGAGGGATACTTTAAACTTAAATTTTTGAATTTGAAAAAAACAGATTTTACCAAATTTCGTTGCGACGCTTCTTCTCGTCGAATCTTCTTCAGGGAATTTAAAGCGAAGAAATTTTGGAAATTTCTCATCGACTTTCAGAAATTCCATGTCAGCTAGATCTCGTTTTGACTTTGAAGGGATTCTTCCTCTCGGATTTTTGGAAACCTCTTCCCGCGTGACATTTTCGATTCCCAAAGAAATTTTCAAGTGATTCTCATCTAACCTCTGAATGTGCAAAGAGACTTTTTCATTTTTGCTTCCAAGGGGACTATACTCTTGTTTGGGCATCAGAACTTCACCTGCAATGTTTCATTGTTTGTACCAAATTTTACATTCGCTTCCTAAAATGAAATAATACCAAAATAATATATAATGTTGAAATTTGAAAATCAATGCCATGATGGATTTTGGATTTTGGATTTCCTACCACGTCCTATGGTTTCATTGGTGGAAATGTAGCCATAGAAAATGAAAGATGGTAGTTCAATAATACAAAAAAAAAATCGAAAAGCCAAGAACAAGGAATCCAAAAATGTAGCCATAGAAAATGAAAGATGGTAGTTCAATAATACAAACAAAAAAAATCGAAAAGCCAGGAACAAGGAATCCAAAAATGTAGCCGGATTACATGCACACATAATGTTAAAATTTGAAAATGAATGCCACGATGGATTTTGGATTTCGGATTTCTCACCACGTCCTATGGTTTCATTGGTGGAAATGTATCCATATCGACTGGGGATAGAGTGGAAGCATATTTTCCAGAGATCTGACCAACAGCATCCGACTTCGTAGCACATCTCGTAAGTTACATTTTTCCCAGGCAAGCAATCGACATAGTAACTCGTATAAATGTGGCAAGTTGCATCCCTGGGCCCATTTACATCTACCAGTGGCATCATAAATCCGTAAACGGAGATCGGCACGACGAGGGCTATTAAAATCGTCGGTAAGACGAACTTCGTGTACGGCGAGAGCAAGATGCGATCCTTCAGTGTCACTGGAAGAAAAAAAAGTCCCCAACGCAAATTAGACCGGATAATAAATAACAAAATGTGTAAATAAACGCATTCCCTGATGTGGAATCTAACGATAAATTGCCGTTTAAGGGAACAATCGATTATGAAACTTGTTTGATATTTTCCCTCGGGAACGCGGAGGCCTTAAGGAAGCTCCCGACACCCATGAAATTGTATTTCTTTTTTATAAGAAATTAAAATAATACTATAAACAATTACAGAAATGCAGTCCCGTGGGCGTCGGTACCTTCTTCAGGGTCTACACATTCACGGAGTAAAGTTTCAAAAGATTTGATACACCCATTTCAGAGAAAAGTTTCATAAACGAGACCTTTGTCACCTTAAGGCGATATGAAAGTGACGTCGGAAAAATCTCGTTTATTAAACTTTTCACCAAACTGGGTGTACCGAATCGTTTCAAACTTTACAACGTGAATATGGAGGCTGTAAGGAAGGTCTTGACACACGTGGAATTTCATTTTCAATAAAGAATGAGAAAAGTACGTATAAACAAATTGTTAAACAATTCAAATGTCATGGGTGTCAGGACTTTCCTTATAGCCTCCATATTCAGGCTGTAAACATTCAGACGATTTAATACACCCAGTTCAGAGAAAAGTTTCATAAACGAGACCTTTGTCACCTTAAGGCGATATGAAAGTAACGTCGGAAAAATCTCGTTTATTAAACTTTTCACCAAACTGGGTGTACCGAATCGTCTGAAATTTTGCCACATGAATATTAAGGCCCTAAGAAAGGTCTTGACATCCACGAAATGTCACGTTTATTCAATTTTGTTTATAATTCTGCATATAAAATGTAATTTAATGGGCGCTGGGATCTTCCACAGAACTTCCATATTCATGTGGTTAGATTTTAAAGGGTCTGGTACACTGGGAGACATCAATGCCCTCCCATCCTGCACAGGCGATGCCGTATCTGCAGGGGAGGCATTCATGTCCGCCATTGTACACTGGGAGATATCAATGCCCTCCTATCCTGCACAGGCGATGCCGTATCTGCAGGGGAGGCATTCATGTCCGCCATTGTACATCTTGTTTGGAGAAATACTTCATCAGGAAACTCGGTAGAGTTTCACGCCAAATATACACTCTTGCACACGTATAAACAATTGACTCCTCAAGTGCTGTTTTCATGTCGTAATTTGGGCGTACCTGGCTGCAAATCGTTTAGAAGCTCATCCAATTCCACTCCCTTTGAAGACGCCATGTTGGTTTCTCGCCTGGAGAGGAATAACGATAAAGATGAACGGAAATAAAAGCTCGCTTCCGGTGGAAATATCAAAAAGCGAGACAGTGCAAAATATAGAATGGAATACATACCCAAGAGTCAGAAATATGGGAGGAAATATTTTTCAGGGTGGCCAATTCGAAATCTGGTTTTTGAAGACATCCTGCAGTACTCTCGTTGCACTTGACTATTCTACGCAATGTAGAATGAATTATATTCTATAGTTGGATCCTCTCATCTATCAATATTATTTCGTTATCTCTTATTGATATATGCAGCATGAATTCACTTGAGTTGAAAATCTTAAAAGTATTTATAAACATATTTTTGCGGAGACGTCTTGCTCGTTTGGGGATTGAAAAGTCAAGAATACACGCAGAAATATATTTCGTTGAACCGATAATAACTTTTTTATTTTCAAAGAGATTATGATTTTCCATCCAAGTATGTATTTCAGTTTCGGTAATTTTTTAATTATTTTTATTTGACGTACTTTATTACTATAACAGTTTAATTTATTTCCCTGTTTTCTAGAAATCGGAGTCCGCGCTGGTAAGTGATTTTTTGCCGCTATTTCCAGGGGATGAACGTCATATAGATTATGANTTTAATTATTTATTTCATCGTTAATTGGGTTGACCAAGGGTCTCCGTTAATATTTTCTTTTTTTTGTATGAAACCAAGGTACGACTTACCTGAGGCATAGCTCGTCGTTCGTGGGAGCTCCGGTGCCACACAGGTGAATCGGAGGTGGCGCCTCACCAACGAGTCCCGAACCTACCCCAACCTTCACTGCCCATTTTAGGGCGGACCAGCTGCTGTTCCCGACGACACCCGGAAGGCTACGGACCTCCATCGTCGGCATCCTCGATCGCACGAACTCGAAGAAGTCTTTCGAGTAAGAATTGTGCCCACCGTGATGGCTTCTTGTAAACGCGGACCTCAGATTAAAGGGCACCGTTCCTCTCGACATGACTGCTCGGAGCCCCTGGAACATTTAACGCAATCGTTAACTGGGTACCGAGAAAAAATTCCAGACATCTTCACGTAGAAGTATGTATTATTTCTCGACAGAAATGGACTGCAAACTGGGGGATTGGGTGCCATGAAAACGTGCAAAAAGGACTTGAAAATGTGAGAAATGTCATGATTTTCTGCAAAATGCCATTAACACGTGGGAATACTTTTTCCTTCGATTTGGAAATGCGCTGCAAATTGGGGAATGTCATGAAAATGTGAAAGATGTCATGAAAATGTGCAAAATGTCTTGAAAATGTGAAAGATGTCATGAAAATGTGAGAAATGTCGTGAAGATTTGCAAAATGCCATGAAAATGTGCAAAACGACGCAACACGTGCGAACCGTATTTTCTTTGATTTGGAAATGCGCTGCAAATTGGGGAATTGAGTGTCATGATAATTGTGCAAAATGTCATGAAAATTTGCAGTATCATGAAATTGTGCAAAATGCCATTAACACGTGCGAATACTTTTTTCTTCGATTTGGAAATGCGCTGCAAATTGGGGAATGAAATGTCATGAAAATGTGAAAAATGTCATGAAAATGTGCAAAATGTCTGGAAAATGTGAAAGACGTCATGAAAATGTGCAAAATGTCTTGAAAATGTGAGAAATGCCGTGAAGATTTGCAAAATGTCATGAAGATGTGCAAAATGCCATAAACACGTGCGTTTTTAATTTGGAAATGCGCTGCAAATTGGGGAATTGAGTGTCATGAAAATTTGCAGAATCATGAAATTGTGCAAAATGCCATTAAAATGTGTAAAACGACACAACACGTGCGAACCGTTTTTTTTTTTATTTGGAAATGCGCAGCAAATTTGGGCATTGAATGTCATGAAAATTATGCAAAATGTCATGAAAATTTGCTGATTGACTTTTGGCATATAGTCGAATCCCTCGAAGAGCGAATCAGATGTCCTGGATTCGTCCTTGGGCCAGGAATCCCTCAAAAATATCAAATCCAGAGAGCCAAGATCTTCAGAAAATTGGGACAAGTAGAGATCAGCTGATTTTGACGTCTCGGGACTCGACCAGTCGGGATACACAACTTTAGAGTCGAGATAAACCCCTTCGTAAGATGTATTGTTTGGAGTTTTCAGCAATAAGTTCTTGTTTTCCAGGATCGAGGACAAAGGTCCCCGATTTGCCAGCAACTGCAACAATGCAATTAAAATTGAATATTTTGAAAAAACGGTATATTTAGAGTAAAGAGACGTCCCTAGTAGCACAAAATATTTCTCCTATATTTTCTATATATTTAA